CAGAAAGAAACAGAGCCCTTGGATCAACAGACCATGAGGAGCTGACTCCAGCAAACAATCCTGTGAGGGAGCTTGGAACCAGATCCACCAAATGAGCAAGCCAAGCAGCAGAACCTCCACTAGCTCAACCTTCAGATGAGACTGCAGCTCTGGCAACACAGGGGCCCCAGTGAAGCCATCCTCAGATTCCTGACCCTGAAAACCTCCACCTCTTCCTTTTCACCAGTTGTCCTCTGACCTAAGATGTATTCCCAGCTTCACAGCTCCAGGGCCCATATTCCCACTCCTCAGTCTTGGGGCTCTTCATCTGCTATCTCGGGTGCCCTATACTCAGGACACTCAGAGCCAGAATGAGTAGGAGACTACAAGATGATTTAGCCTCACCTCAGACAGACAGGGAGGACAGTTCAGTCTGGATCAGTCACCGAGGTCAGGCATGCGTAGAGTGCAAAAGAACACGCAGTTCTACGTAATGGCCCCTAAGATCTGTGTCTTCATAGTTAACATGAGTGCGTGGTAGTGGCATGATACCAAGTACATGAGACATGTTATAATGAAAGCTGTAAGGCCTACTGCTAAAGAAACTCCAGAAAATAGTTTCGTAAGTATTTACAATATCTACCATGAGCGCAGCACTAGATAAAAATGAGGTAGTAAAAAGAACCACACTTACCTTTACCCCTCTTTCAGCTCAAGTAATTATGTAAGAACAGGGAAATTAAGACAAAAATGAAATAGAACTAAGTTTGCACAGAATAAAAGCACATGTAACATTAAATATGGTGTTGATATTGTTTTACTTATGATAAATAATTCATTTAGTCTTACACAGCTTATCATTTGCCTATTCACAGTATTTTAAAATCAAAGGAGCTTTTAAAACTATGGATGTTATTTCCTTGTAAATTTGTATTATACATCAAAAATTCCAGCACCTGTTCATACTTGCTTTATTCCAAGTCATCAAAAGGATTGAAAATAAGAAGTACCTTATGTAAATTGATGGATTCCAGAGTTTCAGCAATGTACCCAGCAATTTTATATACACTATCTCATTTAATCCTAAATAGAACTGTGTAAGGATTTTCTCAGAACACATGTACCTGTATCATTTCTGACTGATACAGTTTTCTGAATTTTGCCCTACATGTGTGTAGATACATTTATTCTATGCAAAATGGGACATTACAGAACCAATATGTGAATATCATTTCAGAGCAAGGCAATTAGTACAAAGTCTTAAAGTTCTTCATTTCCTCTTTGCTTGTAAAACCAAGTAACATTCCATAATATGAAAAGGAGCATACATGCAGCATGCTAAATTGTGGCTGCTGATTTGGGCTAATTTTACATAAATGGTTAAGTAAGTAATGTTACGCTACAGAAGAAAGCATACGTTTGCTTTATCTGTCTCAGGACAATCTAGTGAGATCTCTAATAGCTAGATCATATTGTGAGATGTCCTTAAACGTTTACTATTTCACCATATCACCAGACTGAGAAAGCTAGTTTTGGAGACTTTTCAATTTGGATTTATTACCCCATCTGTTTATCACGTACTAAGTTTAGCAGCTTTTCAGAATTATTAAGAGCAAGAGGCTCTTCTGTGACAGAAAATTGGCACAAATACACTTTCCAAAGGCATCCACTACCTCTTTGATCTATCAGCATCCATAGAGCAGAAAGCTTCATTCATGGTATTTACTTTGGCTATCACTAGACAATAATTATCTCTAAAGGTATACCTGATATATAAATTAGTTTCCCAAATCCTAAGAAAAGTAACAAAAAAAATAAATAAAATAATTTCTGCTATAAATGTCTTCCTTAACTAATCTAATATGGGAGCCGACTAAAGTTAGGACAAAAAGTGGAATCAATATCCTCATGTTATTTTAAACAAATGCCACCACTTGCTGGTTACGCTTTTTTGGAAAATTATGTAATTTCCCTGGGACTATTTCTACATATACAAAACAAACAACAATGCCCATTTCATGGGGTGAATATGAAAATTAAATTATTTAATTTCTCCACCATCTCATCAAAACAGTAATTTTCCAACTTTTTCATCCTTGTTTTCTGTATGACCTCAAAAATGTTTTGTCTTAACCAGTGTTCCTAGGTTCACAGTCCTCACTCTAAATGACATGCCTATTCACACTCTTGGGTCATTTTCCTATTTGAGTGCCATTTTTTACTGATGTCTAAGTCTTAATATACTAAGACAAATTAATCCTCTTTCATGTAGGCTAATTCCTATCACATATTTTGCTAACAATTTCATTTGTACCATCTTTTAGGCGGTAGAACATTAAATACTGTATACAGCTATTATCTTTTCCCTTATAGCATGTGGGTTAGTGTCATGTCGGAAAGCCTTTCTATCCTTTAAGTGGAATAAAAATCACCGCTCCTCCTGTTATAGTATTTTTCTGAGTTTTCCTCTGAACATTCAAATAGTTAATGTCTCCATGATTAATTTTTATGTATGGTGTAAGATGTGATCCTATTTATGTTTTAAATGGATATCAACTGTCCCAACACCACCTGGTCATTTTACCTAATGTCAATCTCAATTATTGTAAGCTCCTAAATGCAGGTTTAATGGTGACAGGAACTTTCATTTCTGCATTAAAGTGATCACTTTTCAAAGTACATTGTTATTCAAGTGGTTATGTATTTTTCCTTCTAGCATTCCCAGCACCTGCTAGAATGAAAATAAAAGGAAAGGTGGGAGTGGGAATATCAAATTTGACTACAATGCCAATAGCATTAAGCCATCAGAACAGTTTATAATGTGTATGTACAACTGTGATTTGAACTAAAATTACACTTGAATTGTCTATGGACAGCATTTTTAGGTATGTTTTTACTCTGGGAAAGCAGTGTAAACTATACAAGGTATAAACATTCATTAAAACTGAGAGTTAACCACTTCTTGATAGCATGGCAAACAAGAACAAGGTAAGGGAGACTCACAAATCAATCTAAATATCTAGGTTCAACTTTATCCCCTTATCTAAAAATACTTATAAAGTAGACTCTTTCATCCAGTATTCTTTTTTGTCTGTGACAAACAACGTTTTTAGGGGAGATTATGCCTGGATTAAGAATAGTAAAAGGGTTAGGCATTGCAGCACAAGCCTGGAGTCCCAGCACCAAGAAGATATGGCAAGGAGGATCCCTGCGAGTTTGGAGTTCGAGGCCAGCCTGGGCTCCATAATGAGTTCAAGGTCAGCCTGAACTACATGGCAATACTCTGTCTCAAAAAAAAAAGGAAAAGGAAGCCTATGGAACAATTTCCAGAATGTGATCAGCATTGTTCAGTGCATCTTACACTCTAGGCAGCTGGGAAGGATGTCCTATTAGCATAATTAACTTCTTTGGCCTTGACCAAGAATGTTGCCAAGCAACTCTTCTGATTATAATTTGGCTTCTTCTAAAGCAAGATAATGTACTGCTGAATGACCAAGAATTCTAGACTACCTCATAATTATATTTCTCATAACAAGCTAACACAAACAAGCATTGTTTCTATTTCTGTCTATTGTGTACATCCTTAGTAAAAGTGAGTCAGTTCCCTTGAACTCTATTACTTGCAGCTACACCGATGAAACTGAGTTTCTGAGAAGCAGACCTGCCAATGCATTACCTTTGAGATCACACCTGAAATGGCTGAGTCTCCCTGAACAACATGATCATTTTATCTCTCTAAAAGCAATAAGCGCCAAGAAATATAATTTCTAAACCAGTCTGCAAGCATTGCGGGATAGCTTATACTGTTAGTAGCCTTGTACAAAGAACAGAACAGGTATTTATGGATGATATCTAAAGGATATGGATTACTCCTGTCTTAATTATTCCAAAATCTTTTCTCCTTTTCAGTCAGACTATTTTGAATAGTCCTCAACCACAACCCCTCACCCTCACTGACAGTGCTCTGTGGTGATATGCTGGGCCTATTCAGGCCATTAGAAAATTTGCTAGTGGATCTATAATAAGACTGCTGTTGAGGCCACTGTTTATCCCATTACATGAGGTCTTGTTATAAAATTTCCTTCTGACCTTAGTGTCAGGAACCGCTGTGCTTTTATTAAAAACAAGTTTGCTTGTTTTCAAGTTTTAAGGACATAAATTTACCAGGTTTTTGTTTGTTTGTTTGTTTGTTTGGCACCATCTACAGAGCTTAGAGAAATATTTGTGCCCCCTGAGAGTAAATATTAAATTTTTATTAGGTCTTTTATATTTTTTGCTACAGTTTATGAATCTCCATAAATCATGTTAAATTTTGCAGGGGGGGACAAAATGAAAAAAATGAATGCTTAGATGAATACATCTCAGCTTAAAAATTTATTATGAGGATTAAAAAAGTCACATAAGTCAAAGGAGAGGAAGGATTTCCAGAACATAGCATGTATATTTAAAAAATAAAAACCAGTAAATTCTCAACTAGCTGGGGAAACACAAGAAGGGGAATTAAAGAGAGGAAAAAAGAGAGGGAAAGATCAGAGAATACCCCAAATAATTTATTAACCGAAACTAGACAAATTATAGTACAAAATGACTGTGTAAACTCAGTCAAGCTTACTTTAAATTACATATTTATAAACATTTATTATTCCATAGGCGTCACTCAAAATGGTAAAAATAACATACTGACATTTGATAAAGGAAACATAAAAATTATTTGATAAAAATGGACAAAAGAGTACTACCAGACAAAACAAACAAGACTGTATCACAACCTGCTTCTTATCTGAGCTGCTCCTCCACCAAATATTAGGGAAAAAACCCTTATGCATGAAACAATCTGCATCTACTGACCTCTCAGTTTTCTAAATAACCCAATAGTCTAACAGATGTTTAAACTTCACAAAACGCACAATCATGTTTTTGCTGCACAGCCTATTTCCTTCAAGGTCACTGTCATCTTCCCTCACCACCAAGGGACTTTCCAGTGCTGTCACTTCTGTATGTCAACCATAGTTTACACATACCACTGTTGAGCCATCTCCGCTCAGAAGTCAAATACCTTCCTCCTTATTCTCAGCTTCCTTAAGTGTGTTGCTCCCCATGTTCCAGGGAATCCCAAGCTTGCTAGGAGGTTAGACTTTAATTCAGGCCAGCACTGAAAAGATTTTAGAATAAGTCTTGTCAGTTCCAATTCCTTAGGTAGGGCTGAACTAAAGAAACTGTCATCTTTCCATTCCTTCTTTGCCCCTCCTTTCCAATCTTTAAATAACAACCTAGTATGTCTTTAGAGTATGCAGAGTAAAAAAATTATGCTTATTCTCATTTCTATGCTAAGAGAAACATTTTCTATGCCGGGGTAGGGCATGGCTCTGCAGGACCAGTGTCACAGCTGACCCATCCCCACTCAAGAGACTGCAGCAACAGGCTCTCCATGAATGAGTGGCTAACAAATGGCCTGAAAGTAAAGCATCTGGTAACAAGGGGGAGAGTGATCTGAGCTGTACCTAAATTGCTGCTTGAAAGAGAAGCAGAATTAAGACTGGCTGGGAGAGGTAATCATAGAGTGTTTAAGAAGTCAAAAACTTTCAGGAATACTATAAGCATTCTGAAAAGGCTAAAATCAGTTCAATACATCAAGAAAGATAAATCATTATTTTACATTTGAAAAAAATACAGAAAGGGAAATATAATTTAAGAAGATGTTTACAGCAAAAATATGAAGCCAGGTGTGGTGGTGTATACCTGCAATCCCAGCACTCTGAGTCAGGAGGATTACAAATTTAAGCCCAGCCTGGGCAATTTAAGAAACTTTGTTAAAATTCTGTCTCAAAAATTTTTAAAAAGGACTCAGGTATAGCTTAGGGCAAAGGCCCTGGGTTCAATGCTGAGTACCCCCACACACACCAAAAAAGGGAAATTAAAGCAATAAGATATTTTTCATCTGTCAACTAAGGAAAAAATAAAAGGACTGATAACTAACAGTACTGGAGATACTGACACTTAAATATTGTAGATAAAAATACAGTTTGGAACCACTCTCAAAGATCTACATCATCTATGAAACTTTTTAATGTGCATATTCTGTGTTAAAGTTTATGGAAGGCCATTATTTTGGTCTAGCCTTCTGGACTAGGCTCCTGCAGACCAGAACAACTCAGAATAAAGTCACTTATATGTTAAGTGTCACTTAAACTGAACTTGGAACAGCAAAGTCTTCCACAGAACAGGAAACACATATCAACTAATCAGAACAGGCCTAGTTTACCTAAGACAACATGAAAAGAAAGTTCCCTATTTTAATCCTATGAGGAAAATAACTCTGGACTGACCAATCTTTTTGTACTCTATTTCTGCTTCCTTGAATTAAGCCCTTTTCTGGCTCCAAAGCCTTTCTGCATCCTCTGCCAGCTCACTGGAAGATTCATTCTATTTTAAAGAATGAGATGTTTCCTGATTCTAGGATTACAATTAAATCTTTGGGTTAAATTTGTTACAATTTTGTCTTATGCCAATTCTTTAATCCTAATCCTCAAAATAATAAAGCGCTGTACATGGATAGTTATAACACAACGATGGTGAAAAAACCCAACATGCATTAAAAAGGACCACGTAAACAGGTTGGAAGACTCATATAATCAAATGCTAGGTGGTCTTTAAGAACAGAGAGGATATTTGAGGAAAATTTTTACATAAAAAAACAGACAATTCTTGAAGAACTGAAACCTACAGACATGTCAACATCATTCAGTTCTATAAGATTATACAGGTGAAATTTTGCCTCTGTCAACTTCACTAGGTCTTTCTGATTAGCCAAAGATTCACCTCTGAACAGCTATGGGCCACCTTGAGTAATAATTCAATCAACTTGTGATTCATCACTTGTGTCATCAGAAGACGTTACACTACGTAAAGTGGAGCAGGGAGGAGAGTGGGAAGGCAGGCAGGCAGGCAGCCTAGCCTAAAATTACCCAGAGGTTATAGCCCAGCAAATAAAACATACTATTTATTTTCTTAACTGAGTAAATTCTAAATAATAGGACACGATGAAAAACAAACACAGGGAATGATGCAAAATAAAAGGCAAGTTACAGGGTAGGATCAAATATATGGTGAATGCTTAAATTTTAAAAATTATAGTAAAAGACACATTGCTATTAATCTGCCTCAAAATACTCCTCCCTTGCTTCCAACACACTTATTCCATTGTTCTTGCCACTTTCTGGAAGTCCTCCTTCTCACGTGTCTCTATGAGCTATGATCAAAGATATCGCAAATGCTGCCGACAAGGGCCATCCAATGGAAAGGCAGGCTGGTCAAAGCATCACCGTGTGTCCTCATCCACCTGACTCACCAGACCTGGCATAGCGCAACTTCTGGCTCTTCCCCAAAGTCAAAATGACTAAGAAGGGTAAAAAAGTTTTGAATCAATTTAGGACACCAAGGCAGCCAAAAGAGTTCAACTAAAAGAGACTCAGGAAAGAGGATTTCCACAACTATGTTGGAAAGTGGTAAGAATGGGACAAGTGTGTTTGAAGCAAGAAGTATTGTGAGGGGAATTTATAGCAAAGTGTCCTTTACTTTAATACATTTTTAAAATTTAAACTTTCGCTGTATCTTTCAATTACACTGTATATGACAGCATGTACACTATAATTCTTTTTTTAAAATTATGTTCACATGCATAAAAAGACACACATATCCAGGTGTAAACATAGATGTGTATATGCATCTTACACCAGTGGGTATGTATATCGGCATACATACAGGAACAAGTTTCGGGAAATAGGCTCAATAACCGAGACAGTGTAACACTGTCCTTATAGCAGTATGACTATGAAGACAGGATTCCAGCATTAAGAGCTGGCAATTCCCCCTATTGTCTGAATCCCCTGAAATGGTACCATGATTTCTTCCAGCAATACTCATAAAATAAATCCATTTTCTCAAGCTATAGTGATGTTTAAGATGTCTCAGATTATCAGAGGACTGTCACCAATTCCTTTCTAACAGCAGTTGGCGTATGAGTGTGTATATATACTACAGTCTGCCAAAACAGCATTCTCCTTGGCTGACAGCATGAGGGGTATAGAAGGAGGAAGACTTACGAATGCAGCCTATAGGAAAAACTCTGGAGATAAACATAGCAACTAAACAGCGGGGATATATGACACGATTAAACACGGTGTATAGATGAGTGGGAGCCAATACCATTAAATGGCTGACTTCTCATCAGAAATAGTGATCAACTGTCTTGTTTCCTCAACGGGAAACTACACCCCTGGTTTAAAAACATCTTGGTATGGTGGTGGTGGGGAAACAAAAAGTGGGAAACAAAAAGTGGTAAACAAATCTTTTTTTTTTTTGCATGATTTGCCTGCATATCACTTTTAACTCACAAAGCACTTGTGGTACATTAAATTACCATATGTCTTAATTTCCTATCTCACCAACTGGATTAGAAAAGAGTTAAATGATGCCCCAAATGAAAATTATCCAGATGGAGGGCCAGGGACTAAGCTCAGCAGCACAGCACTTGCCTGGCAAGCACAAGGTCCTGAGTTTGATCTCCGGTACAAAAACAAAGTTTTTGAATTAAACTTTAAAAAGAAGAAAAGAAGTTAATCCAGATGTTAACATCTGTAATTCTTATTACCAGGAGCAGCAATATGTATACCAACAGCTACAGAGCATGTTTATAGTCAGCATCTGTAAATGTTTAAAAGTCAAGTTAACATTAGATTTGGTAATCACCTGTGCATTTCTCCAAATTTCAAGAGATAAAGAAGCACAATGAATTCTATACCACACAGTCTGGACCTTCACAAGAGTACTGAGGATAAACTCAAAACAGTTGTTACTATGCAGACCCTGCAACAGAACTTTTGCAAACCCCCAACTCTACATGATATATTCTTTGTCATTCAACTGGCTTGAAACAGAAGTTAATGGTTAAGAGAATAATGTTCCTAACTGCCTACTCCCACAATCAAAATAGGTCAGAGAGACCAACATATGTTGCTTTGCTTCTTTAAGACTCACCTGAAAGATGAGGATGATGCAATACACACCCCCACGGAGTCACCGTGATTAATCTTGGTCCATGTAAACCATTAAGTATAGTAACTGGCACAAAGTCTTGGTAAATGCTACTATCACTGTTACAAATCAATGCACTTATTAGAAAAGTTGAATCTCTACCACAAATTTTGACTGTGGATTTGGTCACTGGCCTCATAATTTGAAAATCATGTTTAGCTCTTCAGCTAAATCTTACTCTTCCTGAACCAACTATGTTAAATTTCAGTTCTTTGAAAATCCTGTTTTCTCTCTCTCTCTCTCTCTCTCTCTCTCTATCTATCTCTCTCTCCCTCTCTCTCTTCCATTTTTTTACCAACTATGTTAAATTTCAGTTCTTTGAAAATCCTGTTTTCTCTCTCTCTCTCTCTCTCTCTCTCTCTCTCTCTCTCTCTGTCTATTACTCTCTTTGTTCAGAACATTTTTAATTCCATCTCCTATTCCCAGACTTGGACTAAGCAATTCCTACTCATCCTTCATTTCTTAGTAAACTTAACTTCCCAAATCCTCTTATCCAGATTAGGGTACCCACCTTATGCTCCCTGGTTGCTCTCAACCTCCCATATTTTACTCAATGAACTATCAACAGTGTTATTTAATATATGATTTCCCCAAAAGACTATAAGCTTTCAGATTATAAGCAGAGCCAGTAACTATATAATTCATTGGTCTCCAGTGCTAGGTGCATGGCAAGGAATAAAAGAAGCTCTATAAATACTTGTTAAATTAAATAAAAGCAGAAAGACCAGTCAGACTAGTTAATTATAACCAAGTTCATACGTTAAGTACTACAAATTCTTGGTAAGTTTATGCCCTTGTTCATTCACATTGTAGGAGGATGTTTCAAGTTTAAAATCTAAACCCCACCTCTCAGTACTACCCACTGTAAGATTTAGTTATGTTGCTAAGACAGCATCAAGCTTATCATGCTGTATTCACAATGGTACTCAAGAGCCAAGAGGCTCATAAAGTATCTGCTGTGTTTACTGGTCTTCACTCAAAAGATGTTTTTGAAAAAT